ATGTGCCACCAGAGTGCCTCAGGGACTCATAGTGGCTCTGTAATGGTCATCGTGCATCCTGGGAAGGCTGGTCACTTATTTACCCAGTTTTCCTCAAAACCTGAACTGTTCTTCTAATGTAGGACATGCTTTTCTTTTATTTTTCTTTTTGTTTCTAGTAATATGTCTACCATGAATTCAGTATTGAGTAGGTGTTTCTTTTTGTTTGTTTTTTGACCAAAGAACAAATGAATAAACATGCAATGCTTTCAATTGTCAAAAAAAAAAAAAAAAAAAAAAACTTAGGCTACACAGGTAAAATGCTTATGGCTTCATAGAAGGTGAGAGCTGAGATTAAAACCTGGGCCTAATCTGATCTTCCTTTGTGAATCAAACACAGGGGAAATCAAAGTAAAAATACTCCAGGAGAAATTACTCAGGAAGAACTACATACAATTTGGACTCTCAAAAAACATCACTCCCCAGGAACACCTTCTGTACTCACCTTCAGTGCTACTCATTGAGGAAAAGTTCACCAAAACCTCAACTCTACAAAGCTCCTTCTTTGAAACTACCTGTTCTTGACTTCAATTGACATCTTACCCAAACAAGAGACTTTCCCAGAAACAGATGCCAAAAACTGCACGAAAGCCACATCCATCACAGGCCTGTCAGTCACTGTGAGAGGAAACATCTGGGGTTTCAGCGTCAGCCCCACTTTGGTCTCCACCTCAGGAACAATCACCTGCAGGAACATATGGAATAATGTCAAAAGCTGCATTTGGGTTGCCTCTCCCCTGGCTTGTACAGTCCTAGAACATTCATCTGGGCCCAAGGCTAAATATACTCTGAAGTACAAAGGATCATTTTTAGGACAAGTTTTATACTATAATCACAATAAATCAACAAATAGCTTTTGTGGAAAAATGCATTTCTAATCAAACATAAAAAATACTAGTCTTAAACATCCCACAGGTGCACACAAAAACGTATCTGGCATAATTCTCCACAAGGTGCACAAAGCTGTCATTAACCACCTGTTTACTGACCAAAAACCATGCAATTCTCATCCCTTTTCCTGGTTTGAAGGCACACAGGATATAAACCATGGACTTGTCAGCACCATGGGATTGAGTCCTCTACAGAATAAAGACGTATTTTTCTTCTGTGTGCCTTTCCCAGGGTAAGAGGAGGGGCTGGGAAAGGGGAAACCATTACCTATTTTATCCCTAGAAAAGAAAGATTAAGGAGCCCTGGTCGTGAAGTGTTTAAGCACTCAATTGCCAATTAGAAAGTTGGCAGTTCAAACCCACCAACTATTCCACAGGGCAGAGATGAGGCAGTCTGCTTCTGTAAAAATTTACAGCCTTGGAAACCCTATGGGGCAGTTCTACTCCATCCTATAGGGTCACTGTGAATTGTAATCAACTTCATGGCAAGAGGTTTAAAGAAAAGATTACATACAGAATTGTCTTTTCTTATAAAAGTGCCTCATCATGCTTCCTGAAGGACTTCTAAAGGCTTGTCAATGTAGCCAAGTTTAATATCTAATGTCTAACATTTAATATCTAATAAAGGCACCTGTCAAGTCACACACCTCACTGTTTGCCAGAAGAGGAGAAAATACTATTCTCCCCACTGATTCCCTACAGAAAAAAGGATCCTGCCCTGGCCTGGAAGGGAGGGCAGTATTAGGGTGAACCTTCTCAGCCCTCTCCCCTCCCTCACTTGCTCTTCCACGAGGGAGGAGGAATGGCTAATGCGGTGTCTTCCCGTGGGCAGGGCCACTGCACTGAAAAAGTAAAGTGGGTGAACTCTGGTTCTACCTTGCTTGCTCCATCTTAGCCCCTCTGTACTAAGACATTCACCCTTTGGGTAGACCTGAGGCCAGGGTCTCCCTGCTCCTCTGCCTGTTTACATGGACAAAGCAGACTGTGCCTGCCCAGCTGTCTTCAAATGTAGGTGAGAGAGGAAACGGCCTTGGGTCCCAGAGCCACAGACTGTGGAAGTTACTGAGCTGCCACTGATAAGAGTTTATTTTAATTTCCTTCTGCATTAGTGACTATTCTATAGCAGCAAACAGGAGGTATGATTGGCAGCCTGATACTAACCCAAAACCCACTGCCACTGAGTCAATTCCAACTCACAACAACCCTACAGGACACAGAAGAACTGCCCCACAGAGCTTCTAAGGTAGGTTCGAACCACCAACCTTTTGGTTAGAGCCAAGTATTTAACCACTGTGCCACTAGGGCACCTTAGCCTAATACTAACCCTTAATAAATATCACACCTAGAAAAATAAGAGGCCTGTTGCATCCTTTTTGAATTGGTAGCCTGTCTGCTCTACTAATTATGGCATGCAGGAGCAGAAACACTTCAAAATAAGCAGCTGTCAAATGAAAAGCTCCTTCTCTAACCCCACTTTAGCTCATAACAGCCCTATAAAAAGCACTCCTCTTCTCAAATATTAAATAAAACAAAACTTTTATCATACCTGGACATTGTAGGTTCCCGGTTTTGCTTTAAAACAAAATGATCCATGAACATCTGTCTCCACGGTGACCAAAGACTTGTCCTTGTCTTGAGAGGACAGGACAACTTTGTATTTACTCATCTGCTTGACTGTGTCAGGGAAGCGGATGATTGATATCTGACCACAGACACTGAACCTGCACAAAAGAAGGCCATTCATCCCAGCGTAAGAACTCAGCTCTTACCAACCAAAAATATACATCCCTCTTCCCATCCTCACTCCAGAAACTAGTTTTATCTTAATGAAGAGACGGAAATGCAACCCAAATGACTCTGGTTTTCAAAAGCAACCTTCAGTAGGAAGACTGGGCCTTTTTCTGCATAGGGAAGAAATAGAGCAGGGCAGGGGCCCAAGGCTGTGCTGTTTGTGTCCTGGGTGATAGCTGGCAACCCCAGATTATTGAACCAATTCTCAGAAAATCTGTAGATAATAAAAATGTTTCAGGTAATTGGATCATTGGCAGAAGAGTTGCCTCAGACTCAGAATGGGGGCTACTCCGTAAATATAAGGGCTATAAGCTACCTGAGAAATTATGGCATTACCCAGGCTTTTAAATATCCTCACTTTTGATTATATATAATGCAGAAGCAATTGGAGATATTTGAACAGAAAAGGTAATTAAGTTAAAAAAAAAAAAAATGCAAAGCTAAAATGGAACTACTTAGGAGCTAGGAGCATACAAAAGCAACTCATAACTGAAAAGCCCTATTAAGGGAATGACTCAAATTTGAGACCAAATGAGCAGTGTGCTTTGTAGCACACTTGGAGAAGCAAATGAAAGCCCTCCACTCATTGATAAAGACCAACAAAGAGATGAAGCACTTCATTTTTCAATCAGCTAATGTCCTCTCTAAGGGTAATCATGGACCACAGCTGGAGGCCATTATTTCTTCAACTGGCTAAAGGCTGTATTTTCTAATCTTAGATAATCACTTTAGATAAAAATCAGCTGTTATCTTTGACATAAAGATAGGATAAAGACTGTTGACTTCTGACAATTGTGGGGTATACTAAATATGAGAACCCCATTCTACCTCAAATGAAAACAATGTAAGAAACAATTTTTAAAAAATTAAAAAACCAAACTCACTGCCATCAAGTCGTACCCGACTCATAGAGACCCCTCCCTGGGTTTCTGAGGCAGTACCACTACGGAAGCAGATTGCCCAATCTTCCTTCCGAGGAGTGGCTGGTGGGTTTGAACTGACAGCCTTCTGGTTAATGGTCAAGTGCCTTAGGCACTACACCACCAGAGCTCCTGAAGAAATAACAAAGTAGTGGAATAGTTTATATATATAATCTTTGTTGTTGTTGTTGTTGTTGTTGTTTGCCGTCGAGTCGGCCCCGACTCATAGCGACCCCTCCTTGGGTTTCCGAGGCAGTATCACTACGGAAGTAGGATTGCCCAACCTTCCTTCCGAGGAGTGGCTGGTGGGTTTGAACCGCCAGCCTTTAGGTGAGCAGTCAAGTGCCTTAGGCACTATGCTACCAGAGCTCCTATATATGTAATCTAGGGATAATTAATAATCATGATGATCACAGTCATTTGTTTAGAGTTAAGTAAGGCAGCCACAGAGCACACAATCTAGAGCAGGTGTCAGCATACTACCACTATGGGCCAAAGTGAGCCCACTGCCTGTTTTGCTGTTGTTGTTGTTGTTGTTATGTTCCGTCCAGTCGGATCTGACTCATAGTGACCCCTCCTTGGGTTTCTGAGGTAGTATTATTATGGAAGTAGATTGCCCCATCTTCCTTTTGAGGAGTGGCTGGGAGGTCTGAACCACCAGTCTCTTCTGGTTAGCAGTCAAGTGCCTTAGGCACTACACTACCAGAGCTCCTGCCTGGTTTTGCATGGACCACAAAGTAAGAATTGTTGTTGTTGTTGTTGTTGTTATGTGCCGTCGAGTCAAACCTGACTCATAGCGACCCCTCCTTGGGTTTCCGAGGCAGTATCACTACGGAAGTAGGATTGCCCAACCTTCCTTCCGAGGAGTGGCTGGTGGGTTTGAACCGCCAGCCGTCTGGTTAGCAGGCAAGTGTCTTAGCCACTATGCTACCAGAGCTCCCAAAGTAAGAATAGTCTTCACAATTTCATGACACATAAAAATGATATGAAACTCAAATCACACTGTTGAATTTTTTTTTGTTTTCAGTTTTTTTGGAACATGGCCACACCCTATTTTTTATGTGCTCTCTCTAGAGGCTTTCATATTGCTATGGCAAAGTTGAAGTGTTACCAGGGGCCATATGGCCCTTAAAGACCAAAATATTTACTCTTTGGCCCTTTATAGAGAAAGTCTGTCAACTCTTGTTCTAGATTAAAGGTATACATTTTGGTTCTCGTATCCCCATAGTGTGTACTTCAGAGTAAAAGGACAAGAAGGGGAGAAATGCTAATGAATTATTCTGCCAGATCTTTCATATTCCCTTGAGCTGTGTACTTGTCAGGGGACCACCTTACTCCTTTCCAGCTGAGCCTGTTAGCAGTCCTAAATTTAATGTATTTTAAACTAAGATCTATTTTAGCTCATATTCTCAATTGGAGAGAAATGTAGGGTTTTGTTTTTTTGTTTTGTTTTTTAATACAGCATTATCCCAAACCACAAGTGTACACTGGAATAATTTGGAAAAATAAACAAAAAAGCGTGTGGGAGAGGGTTCTGTTATAAGGAAGCCTCAAAACTGGATGCATGTCAATAAATTCTTTCATCAGGGCTTAAAATACACTTATGGGTAGAAATTGATAACTGGTGTACACTGAGGTAGCTATATTCTATACTTGGTGAGGTGTCAAAGAGTTTGCTTTTTAAATAAGCTGGGAAGTATTTAAAAAGAAAAAGTAAGACATGACAATGAGTTAAAAGGTAAAGTGCTATGTTGGCCCAAAAGGAAAATGGTTCCATTTTCTAAAGATGCTCAACAAATGTTTCTTTACTTTCTTTGATCCAAATAATCCACTGTAAAGAAGAAAATATATTTCCCCATCTCTGTGAATAGCACCTCCTGCACATGCCCAGTTGCTAAACAAGAAACCTGGGATTCCAGTGTCACCAAGGCCTACTGAGTCTCTCTACCAAATCCATCTACTTCTCACTTCCTTCCCTGCTAGCGTCCTGGTCATGGCCACCATCATATATTTCCAAACAACAGCCACAGTCTCCTATGTGGTTCCTCTACTTTAACTCTGGACCCTCTCCAATCTATTCTCCACACAGAAGTCAGAAAAAAACTTTAGAAAATGACATGATCCACATCACTCCCTGGGTGAAAACTCTTCAACAGTTCTCCACTGCATTCAGGGGAAAAATCCTATTTCCTCAACATGCTCCCACCTCAGACCTCGCCAACCTCACTGTCTCCAGCCACGCTGGCTGTCTTCAAAGCCTTTCTCTCCCCTCTAGGACTCTGGCACACAGCACCCTCTGCCTGAAAAGTTCTTTATTTGGCTAACTTTCAGTCCTCCCTAAAGAGAAAAGATTGAAGTGGTCAAGGATTTCATTTTACTTGGATCCACAAACACCGAGGAAGGCAACAGTCAAGAAATCAAATGGTGTATTGCACTAGGTAAATCTGGTGCAAAAATACTTCTTTAAAGTTGTTAAAGAACAATGAAGACTAGGGTGCGCATGGCCCAAGCTTTGGTATTTTCAGTAGCTTCATCAGCATGTGAGAACAGGACAACATTTATAAGGAAGTCTAAGAAAAATTGATATATTTGAATTGTGGTGTTAGCAAAGAAAACAGAATGTACCATAGACTGCTAGAAGAACAAACAAATCTGGCCTTGGAGGAAGTACAGTCCGAATGCTCCTCAGAAGTGAAAATGGCCAAAGTTCCAGCAAGATGGCAAAACAGGCAGACAAGCTACACAGACCCTCTGCAACAAAAGAGAAACCATCTGAAACCAATACAGAAGAAAATCCTGCAACCCTGAGCTTCGAAGGTAAGGATAAAGAAATGCATTAAATACAAACTAGCAGAAGAATCTGAATCACAGTGAGTAATGAGATGAATGGAGCAGTGGACCACCAGCTGTCCTGAGGACAAAGCCATTGTGAATATTTTCCAATAGCAACCTAAGAATCAGCTCTGCTCACAAAGGACTGCAGTGGCAGAGACTGCACTGCTGCCTGACAACCAGAAGGGAGAACAGTGAGAAAAGGGACAGGTGGACCTGTGGACTGCGGGTTGTCCTGACAGTACAGCTATTTTTGATGTTTACAAGCAACAGGCATGGCCGTTTCGAATATGTGCAGGTGGCATTCTTGCCTGGAGAGTGACCTAGAAGTAAGCTCCACCAGCTGAGGACAGCATGGGCAACCACACTGGAGGCCGACGACTGGAAAGGTGCAATATTCCTCTTGTTACTTTTATGCCCATGCTCTCTTGGTGAACAGGACTCTAGCTGTCTCCTGCCTCCACCCACCTTCTTGACTGGCAGGAGTTCCATCCCAGTCTGTGCCCTGGCAGAGCCTGAGTGCTGTGCCCTGTCCCCCAGTTTTGATTTTGCTTGTTTTTAAATTATTCTTTTTTTTTTTTTTTTTGTCTTTTTCCTGTCTTTGGTTCTTGTTAGTTCATGTATTTTTGGTTTTTTCTCTTCCCTTTTCCTGGTTCCCTTCTTTTTCCTTTCTTTTGGTTCTTCCCATCTCTTGTTTTCCTTTTGTAGTTTTACCATTATTTTCTGTAGTATTCTTTACTCTTGCTCTTTTCTCTCATTCCTTCCTCTCCAGATATTGTGGCTTTTTTTTCTCTCTCTCTCTTTTTCTCATTATCTTCCTTTTATCCTTTTAAAATACATTCTCAAAATTTTTCTTCTCTCATACGGCATTTTTTTTGTGTGTGTGATTATTCCTGTATGTTTATGCAGTTGGAGTTTTTTGTTCTCTAGTTTTTTGTAGGTTTTTTTTTTTTTTTAATTTTTTTTCTAACTGAGTGGGAGAGTGCAACCATTCCCACACAACCCAACCATATCTGTACCTCCTGCAGCCCTACCCACTGAGTGAGGGCCCACCACTTGCTTTTGTACCAACTGACCAATGACAGATGGCAACCAATACCAGCTCAACTCACCCTCAACTGCTTTTTGCGAAGAGCTAACAGAGATCTGCATACACACTCTCATTCTCTATCACACCT